CTCCGAGAGACAGTCATAACAAGCCGACATAAGCTCGCTTTCTTGTCTCCATTAGACCCAACTCCATTAGAAGTCAGTGAAATGTGTCAACCTGGTCACGCGTGGGGTTGCAATTTGAGACTCGCGTGACCAAGTCGAGCTACGAGACTCTCCGACCAAAACCTCCCCCGCATATTACAAAGTTTTCAACAGCCTTCGTGTGACCGGCAACTCGTCAGGATTCAATATTACAAAAAATAGCATCCCGACACTTGTCAACCCGATCATGCTCCCGAACACCGAGAATCTTTCGCGATCTGAGAGACCAGCCTTCCGACCATCGCAATAGAACTCCAAAGAAACGTGATTTGCGCACAGCGAAGATTCCCACGTTTTTCTGACTCAAAACTTCTGAGCATCACCTCAAGAACTTTCTGATGTGAGGAAAAGCGCGAGAATTTGGTCCGTTCACGATATGGATGCCCGAGGCTGAGGCGAAAGATCCCGCGCTCTCAACACGGCATCACTCCAATGTTTGTCAATACACTTACTACGTGCAACGACGAACATTGGAGTCAATACGAGATGGTCTCATCATAAGACTCCTATGTTGAGCTGAGCATCTCGAGGATCTAGATTGAACCGCAATCGCCTCCGGATGATGATAGCGAACTGAATGATTCTTTTATTACACGTAACCCTCCTCCCCTCTCTAGTTGACAGCGTAGACCTTCTGGGGTTCTCAAAATACGTCCAAGTCAGCCGAACGGGAGGGCGCCGGAACATATACACACTTACAGAAATCTGCCATCGGAAAATACCCGATTTTTCCCAGACACACTCTTCACCAAACACCGGTAATGTCATCACTGAAACATTGTAGCATTAAAAACTTCGCTCCGCTAATATCCTCTGCCCTCAATTAGTGCTTTCTCTTTCCTCGCCCTCCGTCCGCTCATGAAACCCGTAAAGAGGATAATCCCAACTCCAACAGGATACACCCATCTCCACGCTGCTGGTGAACGATCTTCAATAGTGGGACCACCAGTCGGATTAGCCCACGCTGAGATCACAAAGCTGTACAGTAGACGAGTTTCGGATATATTCCCAGCATTAAAATCAACGTGCTAAAGCCCATCCTAGAAGCGGTTTCGAAACTCCATAGAAGCCTGGCGAACAGCGGAAAACTCCTCAGAAATCGACTCTGCAAGTGACACTTCATCTCGGCGATAAACCCCTTCTCGGATCAGCTCTGATAATTCCGAATAATCCAATTCCGTCCAAGAACGCCTCGTGTGATTACGAACAGAAGAAATTCGATTCTCATTTGAGAAGCGCCCACTTGATACTAACGAATTACGGAAGATATTACTAATAGGATTTCCAACGTCCTTGGAAGTGTTCTCGTTCTGTTCCCCTTTCGCTCTTCTTATCTTCACCTTTTCCCTCACTGCAGAATCCCCGTACCGCCGCGAGCCGACGAATCGCCTGCCTTGTCAGTACCCCTCTCGACACTGGACGAATGGCGACGAACATTGTTCGGGGAAAACTCAGGAAAATAGAGAGAAAGAAATCACTCTCATTTCCAGGAGATTGACCAGTAGTGCCTGCCAGTGAAACGAGAATGATACCCCTACACAGTGTGGGAAAATATGCACGCACCTTGATGACCATGAAAAAATTCAGCAGAAATTTTGGTGAATTCTCGCAAGTTCATGTTCACCCCTACCCTGTGTAAATGCTCCTAATGTAACGACGTAGCATCCCAACAATGCATCTACATATGGCAGACTCCTCAACTGAGACTTCTTCATCATTAAACTCTCTCCCTATCCAATTGAGTATATCACTCGACACAATAATCAATTCCACAACATGACGATTCAATGGTCACAGTTCCTCGTGGATTACATGGACTCTCAGGCTGCTGCCAAGGTTAACCTAGAAGGGACACTCATAACGTAGTTACTCCAGCACGCTTGAACCAACTTTCCTATGTGTTTCTATTCTCCCTCGCCCGCCTTACCAGCTCGACCACAGGGCTCTTTCCCTATTCAACTGTCAGAGCTGTTCATACTGTGTCGATTCGTCGACTTGCACAGAGATTTCCTTCCTCGACAGTCGACTTCCCTTCCCATGAGAGTCTTCAGCTGAACTACGATCCACCCCAGCCGACTCTTTCGGGAGTACACTATCGCCACCCTGAGACCGTGCACTATTATGCTCCTCAGAAGAACGCTCCATTTCAGATGCTCTGTCAGCTCGTTCGAGTGACTCCTTGTGAGTTGGGCTCTCAGCCGGCGCAACGAACTCCTCCTTAGGAGGCGTTTCAGCTCGCCTAGACGGCTGTTTCTCGCCAGACGAACTCTTCAATTGGCTTTGGTCCCGTCTAGATGACTCCATCGGCCGAGGACTGCGTTCTGTTTTCTTCAATTGTTCCGCCGACTCCGGACTTTTGTATGTAATAAGGGCCGAGTCGCGTCCTAAAAACACGTAATACCGTCAGGAAATCCACGCTCAATCATATCCTTATTAATATATTTATCTCTATAGTATATTATAATGTAATCCTAATAAGGGGATATATAAATCTAATGTGTATAATTATAAGTAATATTAATAATAAGATATATTTATATTATATAATCCTGTATATTATATTACGATCAAAAGGGATGACAATAAATCGGCATCTCATTCAGTCCCCGACTACCCCTTTGCTCACTATCGGCCACCCGTGGAGTGCCGCTTTTAACAGCCGAGTCGGCCAAAGCTGTCAGCTCATCGATATCCACCTTCCGTGACTGGATTTTCTTCTGTCGAGCCTCAATAATTCTACAAACAACACAGATTTCCAACTCTACCACATAAATAGGGCATTCCCATTCTCTACTCACGCACGAACATGCATACCACCATACATGAACTTCGAAAACCGACGGATAAGAGACTGGGTTCACCCATAGGTTCTCTTTAGTAGTATTACTATGAAAGATATCAATTGCTGAGCTAAAACGTCACACACCGGGCGAGCTAGACTACTCTGCAGAGAAACTCATACAGCAGGCCGATGCCTTGCACTACCTTGCCTCATCATCATCCTGATATAAATCGCCGCTCTGCACCGCAGGAGGATCGGAGGGCGGTGTAGTGTCACCACCGCTCTTTTGCGTCACATCCGCCTGACACGCGAAACTGCATAGTCATCCATAGCAATTCCAATTGCCAATCAGCTTCTCTAATCTATCGGGAGCCTTCTCCAATTCATCATAGGCATAAAACGCCTCTCCAGCAACGAGGATGAGCTCACATATATTCCCTACGGCATGTATACTGATACCCTCCCCTCCTACTACGTTTTCTTCCTCGGAAGTTTTACCCAGGCGGTCACAACAACCACCTTCGCTCGAAAAGAGGTTACCCATACCACCACAGAGGCATACACAAAATAACCGAACCTTTTAGCACCGCCGCTTATACGCAACCACAAAACATGTTCCCATAAACGACATGACACGGAACCCAACTCCCAGTGCCCAAGAAACGTAGAAATAATCGGGCTCAGCCAGTCTCTGATAACGTGCTCGGCGGATTGCTCACAGCATCAGGTGCTACCGATGAGTCCTCCAGCGATGGTGTCGGGGCTGTCGGGGATCCAGGCCAGGATTGGTCGAATACAGCGTCCAGTGGCTCGCGGTCGAGCAGAAGCATCGCCTCGCAGTGGTACGTGTGAGGGAACATATCAATTGGCACCTGCACAAGGGGCGACCAGTAGTCCAAACGCTGAATCCGTCCGGGTAAATTACAATAATTTTCGGCACGAGAATTCCGCCCTCTTCTTTCATGCCTTCTTGCCCGCCTGCCGCAGTATAATCAGCTTCCGGCCTGGAATACGCCATTTGCACGCATGCACACAAAGATACCGCTCTCATTACTTCGTAAGTTGTATAACATCTCGGCTCAGTGTATCCGGATTGCACGATACATAGACAATTCTGTTTATGAATGAGCACCGTCTTAGGCATCGGAGTACCTGCGTGAGAAACACCTTCATTCCTGTGAGTCACGGCTCCACTTCTGAGCCAGCAAAAAGGAACTTCGAATATGATGATGACAATGAGCACCTCTTTATCGAGTTTAAGCAACAAGCTACGATAATTACTATGATAACGATAGTAGTAGTAATAGCTATTACAACAATTATATTTTAGCCTCATTTTCATGATGCTCAATAAGCCTCCATAATAGTATACAATAACGGCGTTTCACCCGTTCTACGTGAAGTGGCGTTAAACTCAGCGAAAAATGCGATATTCGCGGGATACAGTAGTCGTGAAATATGTTTTTAATATCACGAGTGAAACTCCAATAATATACAATAATAATTCCGGCATCATTCGATGACAACGAAAATCCAGGCCTGCTGAGTTCGACCTGCCTACATTGGGATGCAGTCCTGACCTTGGCGGGTCTACTATAACCGTCAACTTCTGATCTCCCTGGATATCCGAGCATGCTTCCTTGATCACATCCTCGATGGTCTCCTCGGCTCTTCCTACATCAAAACTCAGTCTTGCACGCATGCACAAATCGAGAAGCCAGGTTCGAATCCCACACCCGACAACTAACCTGCAATGAACCTCACTGAGCTGTCCAACTTATTAGCCCTAGCCGACGCCTTCGCATCCTCTACAGCATCCGGGACGAGCTCCAGACCATACACCCGAGGCTTCCCATCGGGTTTAGGCCCCAGGATGCAGGCGAAAACCTGAAATGCTGTTACATACGGAAACTGTGTGACGAAAACAGCAATACGAATAACTCTGTGAAAGTGTTACTAATTATGTTATAAATATGGTTATGATTATGCTCATTACCATAACCAGTGTGACAATCGTCAGAATTATGGTATACACCATAAGGATATACATTATTTATCTCTACGCAAAATCGTGTTAGACATATTTATATATTACTAGGGCACTATTACCATACACTCACTATACAATTGAGTTTCACCCGTGATATGAAAAACACTAGTGAAAAACGTATTTCACGACTACTGCGACTACAATATCGCGTTATTCGCCGAGTCTTACGCCACTTCACGTAAAACCAGCGAAACATTCGCTCGCTACTCTCAAAGCCCTCGGAATCTCAACGGCATGTGACCAGTCCTACCTGAGTTATGGTTCCCACCCCTGAGCATACGTCTACTACTGCTGCCGGCATTTTAGCCGAATCCAGTTCCTCCAATTTTGGTAAATCGTCCCCATCTGGAGACCCAGTGAGAGCTAGGCGTACCTACTCCACTTCATGTCTATTCCAATAGGAACATGCGTCTTCTATCCCATCACATTAGTGAGTGCATATAAATCCAACCATCGATTGAAAATCAGTTCATGATGAAGGGACGACAATTTTTGGATTCTCTCATAAAGTCCTTCTCTTCACTATTTCGGATTGAAAGCAGAGTAGACTACTGCGAATTCGTTTCCCCCCCCCCAAACTCACTGCCATTATATACAGTTTCTTGCACATAACCACGTTCGTCTGGAAAAAGGAGGCAGGTTGCAACGGGAACTCCAGGCCCAGCATATCCATCATCACTCTCGTGTCACCATATATCTACCACAACCAGCGAATATTATTCGACCACCTTATTCCCAACTCATATCTGGGAGAGATGAAGTGCCGAAATTTAATGGCATATACACTATGGGGGAACGCGAAATGTGTTACATATCGTTTTTTCTATCTCATATTTTTCTATCGTGCACAGATTACACGCAAAACAAAGAAGGCGTTGGTATTACATGATGAAGATCTTCAGCCTTCATATCGCA